CACAATATCTGCTTTGTTGAGCATCACCTGAGATGTCCGATGCTGCAGCCCTAAACATCCCAAAGCATCCCAAAGCATCCCAAAGCATCCCCAAGCCCTAAACAGTTCAACCTCGTGCCTCGGCCCTGCTGATCGACCGCAGCCGCGGAGCAGCCACCATCGTTTGTTGGCAGTTATCAATGATCAACGTTCTCTTGAGTACTGGTGTTATGTCCTCCCAATTCGTTCAGGCTTCTTCACGGGAAGGCATCATATATGGCCTACGGCATAAGGAACGCGGGAGGCATCAAAACTTGGCCTCCCAACAGGGATTTCAAGGATGTCGAGGATGTTGCAAAGTTCAGGACATGGGCATAAAAATTGATTGGAATGATCCGTTGCCTGGTTTTTTGGGGGGTATGGGTTCATGAGAACTTTCTGGCCGACGAAGCTGATCACCGGTCTCTACCCCACATGGAAACGATCGGAAGCGGAAGCTGAAATTTTGCAAGCTTCAACTTGGCACGGGCCCTCAGGATCACGAGCTCGTGGGAAAGTGCACCGGGGAGGGCCTTTAGACCTCTATCCACGAGGGGAATCTGTCTGAAACCGATGCGTGCCTACGCGTGGGCCCCTCTGCCTTGAGGCGGGCACGGCCCTGGCAGGCCTAACATAGACTCTTATACGCGGGGCCGATCCGACAAGGATCTATCTGTCTCCTACACATGGAGGTCCGTTTCAGCCCTGTTCCCTATAGTTAGTGATTCACAGACGATGCACTACTTCTGGAAGAACAAAATTCCCCCTACACGACATGGCAGAGCACTTCCGGGAACACTCGCCGCAACTAACAAACTGGCACTTTGTTATCCCAATAGGTCCGATACGACATGGCAAGATACATGTCCGGCACGAGCACATCTGGAAGGAACACCAGCAATTACAAAGCGGCGCATTTTCCCCAATGCGACATGGCAAGTTCAATGCTCGGCGCGAGCACTTCTGAAGGAAAAGCGCCGACACAAAGCGGGGATTTTGTGCCCAAAACGAGATGGCAAGATATATTTCCGACACGAGCACTTCTGGAGGACAACCCGCCGTAATTAAAAAAAGTGGCGCTTGTTTTTTCCCGGTACGCGTTCCTATACGACATGGCAAGACAAATTTCTGGCACGAGCACTTGGCGTTTTTTCCCTTTTCGACATGGCACTCTCGGAAAGAAAGCCTGCTGTGGAGCTTTTCTGTCCCCTGGCACGAGCACTTTTGGAAAACCTGCCATAACAAAGCTTCAAGCACATTGGTAATCATCCTGCTTTGGTTGGCCACACTGAGCCTGAGAAAGCCAATGACAGTGGCTGCAAACCTGCTCCTACTTCTGAGGGCGGCCTAGGAACAAAGCGCGTTCACTCTCCCCACACACACAGAAACACAACATCTCAGAGTCATGCAGCTAAGCTTGTGGTTTTTATAATATGCGCAGGGTTCTGGTAAATACACGGAGGGCCAGCTAGGCACTTGTCGGGGGTGTATCAACGCCTTTTCATAGGAGGGACATTTTATGGACCTATTTTCGCATCGGGCCAGCACTGGAGCATTCAGCTGGAATCAAGTGGGCAGGAAACAAAGATCACCAAAGTCCCCAGCCTGGTGCCCGGCACCACTCCGGTTCGAACAGTCCCTCGTAGCCCTCGTATCCCTTTCTTCCCCAGTCCTCCTGCCGGCATTCTCCGTTAATTTGCAACAAAACGCACAACCAGAGCTCCAGTGGCCTGCAGCCGAAAAACATCATTTCGTACCTTTTTATGCGCGTGCGCCCCTTGGCAGTAGGCCGGTCATGACATGTTAAAGCGAAACGTCCCACTCAAGCAAAAGCAACAAAACCGACGAACCAAACCAAACCAACGACCCAAAGCTAACAGAAACCAGAAACAAAATCTGAAAACTGTGTGAAACGCGGATTAAAGTTGAAAGGCTTGGATGGCCAAGATGGGCTATTAGGCTATCAACAAACCTTGCAAGAGGCTGAAAAACCCCTTTTTGGGCCCGAAGTCACCTCTTGGACCTTCAATAGCTCATCTGCCGGGTGCTTCCAAGGTAGAATGCCTGTCAGAACCTTCTTCGTTCTTGTGCACCGAACGAAGGCTTTAAACCTTCAGCACAAAAGGGCTTTAAACTCCGCTTCCTCTGACAGTGTGTGCTTTGCTTGCCTGGCTCCAGATTGTGCATGGAAGGGTGAGTGCAGCCAGCAGGATGCGTTGCAAAAATTTAAGAGTTTACTCCAACAGATTATATCCAGAGTCTCCCAACATCCACATCTTCCACACACCTACAACGGCGCCAGCAAGAACAGCAGCGCGTAGATGTCTAGTGCTTGCTTGGGGGTTCTTGTTGCCCAGTCGGCAAGCTTACACGGGTTTAGAGTTTGGGGTTTGAAAGGGTTTAGAGGTAAAGGCGCACGACCTCTGGAGCGGTCAAAATTTGGTTTCTCTAAGGACGCGACCTCTGGAGCGGTAGTTTAAATTGCTTTTTAATCTTTGCATTTTTCGCACTTTAGACTTGGAAAACATGCACTAACTTTGAAAAAGAAAAACCAACATTAAACACTAGAAACAAACATAGTCCAAACGAAAACACTTTAACACCAGAAAAAGTGAGTCCAACCAGAAAAACAAATCTAATATTGGTTCAACCGCCCACTAAAACCAGATTTTGACAAGAAACACAAAAATCAAACCAGATTTTACTGGAAACATTTCTTTAATGTCAAGAATGCTCCTTTAAAACCGCATACCACAAGAAAACATTTATTTAGTAAAACATTTAAAACCACACAATAACTGAGAAAACAAAACTTTGTTCAACGGAAGCTTGCCTTTTTTGAAGTTGTAGTTATTTGATTTTTTGTGTTCAGGTTAAAAACTTCTTGAAAATTTGTCTTTCTCTTTGAAATCTGTTCAAAATAATTAACAAAAAAACTTATTTGTTTCTGTGCTTTTGAAAATGGAAAAATATGTGTCTGTCCTTCACATTGGCTGAAGAAGGCGAGGGGCGGAGGCCCTAACAGTCGCCTTCTTCAGCCAATGTGGGGGAGGGAGGGAAATGACCCTGCAGAGGAGGGGGGTTGGGTTTGTGGGAACGCTGCTCATTTTTTTTGACAGAAATACAATTTTTAGGCCAATTTTACAACTGCAACAAACAGCTTTGATGTGTTTGGAATTGCTGAAAAATTGGGTAAAGCTCTCTCTTATGCAGGTGTCCCCGGCCCCCCCAGAAGGCTATCCACGGACAGCCTCTGTGAAGATGCATTCCATTCCATTTTTGCCTCGAGGTAGCGGAGCCCTGCAGAAATGCAGCTCTAGAGCCGCGGGGACCGCATCTGGACAGATGCAAAACCGCATTATGGGGCACTTTTGGGTGCTCGCAATGAAGATGCTCCTGCATCGCGATTCTGGGGGGTCAGGGGAAAGGAAGGAAAAGGAACGGAATGGAGAGGAAGGAACGGAAAGGAACGGAAGGGAAGGGAAGGAGAGGAAAAAAAAAAACGGAAGGGAAAAAAGGGAAGGGAAAAAAGGAACGGAAGGGAAAAAGAACGGGAAAAAAGAAAAGGAAAAAGACCCCCAGAAATCGCGATGCAGGAGCATTTTCGTCGGAACGCTCACCCCCAAAAGTGCCCCATAATGCGGTTTTGCATCTGTCCAGATGCGGTCCCCGCGGCTCTAGAGCTGCATTTCTGCAGGGCTCCGCTACCTCGAGGCAAAAATGGAATGGAATGCATCTTCACAGAGGCTGTCCGTGGATAGCCTTCAGGGGGGGCCGGGGACACCTGCATAAGAGAGAGGTGACAGTTTTTAGGGGCGGGACGGGGGAGGTGGCTGCCGCTGGCAGCCATTTGACAGTTGTCAAAGTTGTCAAACTTGTCAAATGCTCTTGAAGACTGCAGGCCGACGTTTGCAGAGAACTTTGCTATCTGACAGATTTGACAGCTGTCAAATTTGTCAAATCTGTCAAAAGGCACAATTGAAGACTGTAGCGCGACGTATGCAGAGATTTGACAGATTTGACAGATTTGACAGTAGATAGGCAGCAATCCGCTGCAAAATCAGCATCCGGAGCATCAAGCGCGGGCAAGACGAGCGAGCGAGCGATGAGGTAAACAGACGGAGCTGCAAATGTGCGGGCGGGCGCGTTTCGGGCGGCGGCGGTGAGTTTCGAGCGTCGGGCGCAGTTTCGGGCGGGCGTGCGCGAGTTTCGGGCGTCGGGCGCAGTTTCGGGCGGGCGCGCGAATGAGCATCAGCGGGCGCCAGAGGCGCAGCCAAGCGGGCATCAAGCGGGCGGGCAGTCTCCGACCTGCGCGGGCGAACGTGCGCGCAGATGAGCATCAGCAGAGCTTCAGCGGGCCATCAGCTGGCCGCAGATGAGCATCGAGAGAGAGAGAGTGCAAAAAATCTGGGTCTGAGATGAAAGCTGTCTCTGAAAAGTTGTCACTTTTGTCACTTTTGGTGATGCTCTGAAATCCGCGTCTGAGAGCCAAGCATTGATCCTAGTAACGCGTCACTTTTGTCACTTCGGGTTTTGTCACTTTCATTTCTTGCGCGTTTCTGAGCCTCTCGTCGCGCGCGGGAAAAGTGACAAAAGTGACGGTTTTTCGAGAGCAGAGGTTGCGGCTGCGGGCGCGCGGATGAGGGGTGCGAACGAGCATCGGCATCGGCCGGCTGAGCATTAGCGGAGCCTGGAGATTGAAGCCTGTAAACTGGAGGAGGGCAGGGTGGGCGCACTCGCTGAAGAGCATCAGCGGCCGGGCGTGTGATCATCAGCCAGTGGGCAGATGATCACCAGGCGGGCGCATGAGCATCAGCGGGCCATCAGCGGCGGGCGCATGAGCATCAGCATGGACGGACAGATGAGCGTCAGCGGGTGGGCGGATGATCATTCTGAGCATCCGCGGGCGGGTGGATGAGCATCGGCGGGCAGAACAAGCGACAAGTCCGTCAAGTCAAAAATGCAGTCTTAGGGCTTGGCGCTCAGAACTTTACAAGCTTGACCAACTTGACGAACTTGATGTTCTTGCCAGGCCTCGTCTGACAAACCTGCCCCCGGGGCGACCTGCAAGCCTTCAAACAAACATCAGCAAGCATCAGGAGCTGTTTTGGCGAGCCCTGGCAATGCTGGAGCTTTGAACGAGCATCAGTGGGTTGCCGAGCAAGGAATCCGAGGCCCAGGTGCAGGAACCTCAGCAAAGCACAGCGTCTAAAGCGCACATGGCAGTCAGGCGCAGCCAGCGCAGCATGCCCGAGGTCTCAACCTCACCTGCTGACGATTCGGTGGCCTGGCAGAGCTATGGCTTCAGCTCCGGGAAACTCCAAAAGCCACATGTACTCAATCAACGTCAGGCACCCCCAAGGTCACTCCTTTTCGCAGATGACTGTGGTGCGGGTTTCTCGCGGGCTGCTTGCGCATGCAGCTCCGAGGCGAATTGGTACTCCCGCTTCACCATGTGCCAGACCACGGGGTGACACTTCTCTTCTCGGATCCACATCGCCACCTTCTCAGGAGACGCACCACTACCGCCTTCCAGCTTGCCAACAGCTAGACCACCGCGGTTTTGCAGCAGTGCATTCAAGATGTTCGCGCCAGCCGGCGTGATGTCATCTACCGTCTGGAACTTGCAATCCCTCCGAAAAGTCTGCACCTCCTCGCGGGCCCTCTTCTCCATCTCCGCCTGCTTGGCCGCCAGCGTCTCCGGCCCTGTGTACTTTTCGCAGGTTCGCACCAAATCCAGAGCGTTGTAGCCGCCTGAAAGACGCTCCAACCAGTGCAGCGCAGGGACCCTCATGCCAAAACAAAGCAAACAAAGCCAGGGAGCATGCTGCCACGAATTGCTCCCAATCCGTCCGCCCGCGGAGGGCCAACAGCTCCTGCGCCTCCTCCTTCGTGAGGTCTTCCACCCAGTAGTTCTCCTGGCGTTGGTCGCCGCCGGCGTCGAAGGCCATGGCCATGGCCGCCGAGGAGGCGCAGACGATCACCTCAGCAGGACAACTTGCAAAAGATCCTACCGCAGCCCAGCAAGACACGGCGGCTGAGTCTTCGGGTCCCGGCGTGCGCCAGCGACCCGTCCGACGAGAAAGTCTTGGCGAAGCTGGAGATTGAGTCCATGCCTTGGAATCCAGCCAAAACAAACACGTAGGAAAAGAGAAACGCTCCGAATGCCTCAAAGCCCCCCCCCCGCCTTCCTTGGTCGATCGCGGGATGTCGAGCACCAGGACGGGCGTCTGGTTGAGCTCCTGTCGGATTTTTTGGAGGACCTTCCTGAACATCTCCTCGTCGCCCAAGCCCAGCACTGCATAGAGCTTCTCCTCCCACTGCCTATCCTTCACGGTGTGGACGTGGACGCCCTGCATGCCGCGGAGCGCCTCTTCCAGTGCCACGGTCTTGCCGCAGCCGTAGCGCCCCGCAATGATCGTCGCGTGCTGGCTCCACCGCATGATTCGTTGTCGGATGTCCTCGATGACGGCGCGCTTCACCACATTCTCCTCCTTGGTGTTTGGGAGAAAGGGCTGCAGCATACGGTCCGCCGCCGCTTGGATACGGCCTTCTTTGGACTCCCGTTGGGCTCTCTCAGAGTCCCGGCGCATAATCCGAATCTGGGCAAAGGCGAAGACGGCAGCCGCCACAGCCGCCGCGGCAGTCGCCAAATTGACCAGCAAGTCCTTGGATTGGACCGGCCACCTGGCAATGTCAAGAATCTGGTGCTCCGCCACAGGCTTCTCGTGGCCGCGCCATCCTGCCAGTGCGGCCTGCAGGAAGCATGACTACATACACCCAACAATGTGCACCAAAGCAGGCAGCAGATCATGAAGACTGCCCAGCCTGAGGTGGAAACAAAGTCGTGGCCGCGAGAGCCAGCAAGAGCTTCCCAAGTGTACGTTTCACAGCCATGGCTACCGAGACAAACCTAGAAGATCGCTCATGCAGCCACGCTGCGCTGTTCAAGAGCCATGATCGCAACTGTCAGCATGAGCTTGTTGTGCGTCAACATGAGTTCCACATCAGTGCCGAATGTCACATGAGCCCCATGCCTCCGCTGCATGGCGCTGGGAAGCCATGACCGGGCGCGAAACTGAAGGAGGCAGGTGTTGCAGCGTGAGAACTCCCCTGTGCGATGCGATGGACCCGAGTCCCAGGCAGGGCGGGGGAAACCTCTGATTCCCCTTGCGGTGAAACTGCAACAGCACCCCTCGAAAAATGTTCACTACACTTCTCTTGGCTTCACGGTGCAGTCGCCGGCACCTCTGCTCCCAGTTGTTACTGTTGTCACCACCGTCGTAGTGCCAGCACTCCACTTCAAAACAAAACACTTATGCCACCAGGCTTGTGGTGAAGTTGCTCCAACAAGCACCTCATTCTCCAGAAGTTTGTCACTTCCGTCAATTGCCGGTTTGCGCTTTCCGGCAACACCCCTGTTTCGAAAAAGTTGTCACTGTTGTCACTTCCCCCTGTGGTGCATGTAGAGGCGCTCTATTTGCAACCAAACCCAAATTGACAAAACCCCCAAGTGACAAAAGTGACGGGTTCTGAGAATCAAGGCCCCAGCTCCCCAGCAGCCCCCAGCAGCACCAAAAGTGACAAAAGTGATGGGTTCTGAGAAACAAAGGGCTCCCAGCTCCCCAGCAGCCCCCCAGCAGCGCCCAAAAGTGACAAAAGTGACGGAACCTGAGAAACAAAGGGCTCCCAGCTCCCCAGCAGCCCCCCCTGGCCGCTTCCTCAGGCGCCGGCCCAGCCGCTGCATCAGGCGCCGGCCCAGCCGCTTCCTCAGGCGCCGGCCCAGCCGCTGCATCAGGCGCCGGCCCAGCTGCTGCCTCAGGCGCCGGCCCAGCTGCTTCCTCAGGCGCCGGCCCAGCTGCTGACTCAGGCGCTGGCTGCCGTGCTTCCTCCGCTGGCTGCTCCAACAGCCTCTTCAGCTCGCGCTCCAGCGCATTCATGGGCAAGCCTCGGATGATGCCCGGATCGATGTCTTGGTAGCGCGGCCTTCCAGGAGCTTGTGCGTGGCCTCATTGCTTTTGTCCGGATGCAGGAGGCGCAGCATGGCCTTGTACCTGCAAGTCAAGGTTCGGGAACACTCGGACACCAAACCTCTCCAACATGGTGCCGCCGGGGCTGAGCACGAGCGCGATGGCTGCGCGTCTGGCCGCCTCACTGGCCATGCTTGCTGCGTAGGTCATGGGGTTTCAGGGCTGTGAGCTCACAATAGCTACGAACGTGCAGTGCAATGCACCCTCACACAGTCCATCATCAGATCGGGGGCTCTTTCGCTCTCTCTAAAGGCTTGCGGTTCAAAATGAGGGATTAGAGGCCCGTCACTGCTTCCCGAAGCATGAGGGATTAGAGGCCCGTCACTGCCGACCCCCACGGGCCACTGCTTACCCCTGGGGACCCCGCGAAGCATGAGGGATTAGAGGCCCGTCACTGCTGAATCCTGGGGACCCCGCGAAGCATGAGGGATTAGAGGCCCGTCACTGCTGGGTTGTGGGGACCCCCCCCCCCCGAGCATGGCCCGTCACTGCTTACCCCTGGGGACCCCCCCCCGAAGCATGGCCCGTCACTGCTTATTTTTGGGGACCCCCCGAAGGGGGATTAGAGCCCTCTGATGGCGGGCGGGGGCAGGGGGCCTGCGGATTTGACGGATTTGACGGGTTTGACGTGTCAAATGGGGCCTGCCGGGGCTGGGGACAGGTATGACGTGTCAAATGGGGCCTGCCGGGGGGCTGGGGGGCCTGCGGATTTGACGGATTTGACGGGTTTGACGTGTCAAATGGGGCCTGCCGGGGGGGCTGGGGGGCCTGTTTATTTGACGGATTTGACGGGTTTGACGTGTCAAATGTGGGCTACCGGGGGCTGGGGGTCTTGCGGATGCCAAATAGGCCCGCCGGGGCGGCCGACCTGCTGACTTTGACAGACTTGGTCCTCTGTAGCACCAGTAAGCGCGAGGCTGATCGAGGGAGCAGGTCACGTCACTGCGACCTGAGGCAGCGATGGAAATGTCCGAAAACAAAGGAGTCTAAGACACAGCACTGCAAAAGAACCCAAGAGAGCCCTCAGAGGTCGGAACATCACCTACCAAAAACTGGGCTTTTACCGAACTGCACTTCTGCCGCACGGCCCTGCTACTGCGCAGCACTCTCCTACCAGTCCCCTTTGCACGGCACTCCTACTGCGCGGCACTCCTACCACACGCAACCTTCCTGTCGAACTGCACTACGGGGCCCGAACGAGCACCCACAAAGACAAGGAGATCGCGAGAGCACCTGGGTGAGCGGGCGCACTCCTACCGCACAGCACTCCTACCAAACCGCACCCTCCTGGAACACTTCAGCGCTGCAGAGACGCCCCGCGCAAGTCACTCGGACTACCCTAGCAGGCCCGAGCAATCCTGCTGCGTGACAGGATCTGAGGTCAGTGCCGCACGGCCCAGGTTCTGAACTGGCTACTCACTAGGCTTGCTGCTTGCGCTGTCTGTTCTCCTGCCGGTGATGCTGTCTTGCTGACTGGGATGCTCTTGCTGCCAGCACTGCCACTGCCACTGTGCTTGTGCCAGGCACAAGAACCAATGCTCAAAAAAAAATCCTACGCAAGCAAAATATCATAACATGCCACTTAAAAAGAAAACAAACTGCGCGTGAAAAACGAAGCATGTCAGTCAAAACCCGTGTCTCGTGAAAATGCATGAAAACAGGAAAACCCAGCACGTGAAAGCAAAACAGCAAAGGAGAACCCCCCAAAAACACAAAGTCGATCAAGCGCTGCGGGCTTTGAGGGTGCGGGCCACAGGAAATCGTCGTCGTCGTTGCCGTCGCCCTCGTCGAGGGCACGCCACCCGGGTCCAGGGGAAACTCTGCCCTTCTTTTCGCGGCTGCCCAAGCCATCCTGGAGCTGCCCTCCAGGTTGCCCAAACCATCCTGGAGCCGCCCTCCAAGTTGCCCAAACATTCCGGCTGGCAGATGTTTCCATTTGACAGTTGTCAAATTTGTCAAATTTGTCAAAGACGGACTTTAAGACTGATAGCGCGACGTTTGTAGAGACTTCAAGGATTTGACAGATTTGACAGCTGTCAAATTTGTCAAATCCGCCAACGGGGGTTAAAGACTGTTGGCACGACGTTTGCAGAGATTTGACAGATTTGACAGATTTGACAGTTGTCAAATACCCTTTTCCGCTGGCGAGAAGTTCGGCCCACCCTTCACAGCACCGCGAGCAGCTCGCTGCTCGTGGCCCTGCTGGCGCCCACGTACAGATGCCGCAGGTTGAAGTGCTGCGTGCCCGCGTCGCAGAGCCAGACGTGGCCGCGGAGGGTCAGCCCCTGGCAGCTGGCGTCGGTGATGGCGTGGCACAGGCGCGTCTGCCGCAGCAGCTCCGCGTGCGAGAACTGCTGCCCGCCGTCCAGCGTCACCTTTTCGGCGCCCACCTCCGCGACGGTCACGAAGACGCCGCGGGGCACCTTGCCGCCGGCGCCCACGAGCCTCAGGCCGGGCCAGACTCGCATGCTCTGCGGCGAGTTGGTGGTGGGCGCGCCCGGGGAGGCGTGCGATCAGCACCGCGTCGGGCGGCGCGAGCCGGCGGTTCTCCCGCTCGTTGATCTGCACCCTGTGGGCGTGGGAGATCACCAGGCACACGTCGGGGTGCTCGCCGGGCCGCCGGGGGAACTCCCTGCGGGCCACCCTGATGGCCTCGGCCAGGGGCACCTCCTCGGGCTCGCCGACCCGCAGCCAGCCGATGAAGCGGAAGATGCGCTCGTCGGACCGCTGGTTCTCTGAAAGCTCGTGGTAGTAGCCCGCAGCCAGGTCCCGCAGCAGGTCGCTGTCCTTCAGCCTCCGCTCCACCCTGGCCCCCGCGAAGCTGTCCATCACGGCCCGCAGCTGGCGGAAGTCGCCCATGAGCAGGAAGCGCGCGGACTTGTCCATGGCCACGCAGGCCACGTCCGCCCACAGCCCGGCGTCCAGCTGGGTGACCTCCTCGACGCAGAGCCAGTCGAGCCTGCAGCGGCCGTTGCGCACCGTGCGCCGCACCCAGTGGTCCGCGGTCTGGGCGCCCATGCCGAGGTTCTGGGCCGAGGAGTGGGTCTTCGACACCAGCTGCACCACGTCCCCCGCCTCCCTCAGGCGCTGCACGATGCGCCGCGCCAGGTGCGTCTTGCCGGTGCCGGGCAGGCCCTGGAGCAGCAGGCTCTTCCCTTGCAGGCAATGCGCCACGGGGTCCTCCACCCACTCCCAGGAAGCGGCCGCAGGCATCCAGGCCTGGATCTCCGGGTCCGTGTGGTGCCCCCGAAGCTGCTCCACCTCGCTCACGCGGTACACGGGCGTGCCGTCGGGGTGCTTGAGCAGCGCCAGGCGCTCCACCGCCGGCCAGAACTTCTTGGGAAGGTCCTGGAAGCCGAGGCAGTCCGTCTTGAGGAACTTCAGGTACCGCGGGGGCACCTCGGCCAGGTGCTGGCGGATGCGGGCCACCGCGCAGTACTCGGCGGCCATCACGAAGTCCCAGGCGGGCCGGTGGGAGGCATTGGAGAAGAGCTGGCTGACGAAGACGTGATCCCCCGCGGCGTCCACGAAGGTCTGCCGGTACTGGCAGCCGTGGCCGTCGAGCTGGTTGTTCGAGGTGCGCATCTGGAGACGATGTCCACGTTGCGGGCCCAGAGGCCGATGAGGGCGTTGACGGCCAGCTTGGCCATGTGCTCCTCGTCCCAGGCTCGCTCCATCTTCTCCAGCGCCCAGGCCAGGCAACGCTGCTCCACGTGGGCCGTGGCGTCCAGGCTCCAGACGAAGTCCCCCCAAGTGGTGATGCCCGCCTCGAGCATGTAGGCCGCGGCGGGCTTGGCGTACCAGCCCTCGCCCACGTAGGGCAGCCGGTTGAGAAGGGCCATCCGGCCGTCCCTGCGCAGCCTGACGTAGGTGAGGTCCGCCAGGTGCCCCTCACTCGCCTCCTGCAGCGAATCCAGCGGGCAGAAGACGGGCAAGGGGAACCTGGCATTCGCCAGGCCATTCTGCGGCAGCGCACCACGTCCACCCCGTGGCAGACGCGCTCCGCGTTCCACTTCTGCAGCGCGCAGACAAGGGGCGGCAGCCTGGGGGACTGCACGTAGGCCTCGTAGACCCGCCGCGAGACGCGGCTCTCCAGCGTGGTCGCCTGCATGTTCTCCAAGCTCGTCTTGAGCCGGTGGCACTCCAGACACAGCGCCTGGAACTCCTGGATCTGCCCCCGGAAGGCCTGGTGCACCGGCACCACGTGGTCGAACTCGCACGTGCCCAAAGCAACGGGGGCGCCGCAGAGATTGCACAGACCGCCCTGCGCCTGCAGGATCTGCTCTCTTTGCTGGGGGAGCTCCCGCTGGGCCTTCAGGAGGTGCATGAGTGCCTCGGTGGCGGCGGCGGCCAGCCTCTGCCCGCGGTACTTCAGCCCCAAGCGCTCCATCCAGGCTCGCAGGGCGCCGTGCTCCTCCGGCAGCTCGCAGATGACGCAGTCACCCTCGTCGCCAGCCCGCAGCCGGAGGCGGCTCCACTCACAGAGGCTGCGCATGGCCACCTTGGGGCTGTGGCCCTGCGCCATGAGCTGCCCCCGCGCCGCCCTAAGATCGGCGGTCCAGAAGTGCCCGGGTCGCAGCTGCCCGTCCCACTCCCGCCACTCGGAAAACTCCGGCACGGCGCTCTCCCGGCGCTCCGCCCTAGATTTGGGGCAGAGGCGGTCCGCGTCATCGCACTGGTAGACGCTGCGGGCGTTCTTGTAGAAGAAGGCGTGGCCCTCCCACGCCGTGAAGGCCACGGCCCGCGCCTCTTTCTCCATCGGCTGGTAGGCGTCCAGGAGCCGCCCGTTGCAGCTCACGAAGAACATGGGGGCCCTCCACACGCAGAAGGCCCGGATCTCCTGGGGGCTCACCCCCTTGGTCTCCCAGCCCTTGCCGCAGATGGTGTGGAAGTCGTTCCCTGCCCTGGGAGCCCTCTGAGACCATGTGCCTCAAGGGCCAGCGCTGCGAGGCCTTCGAAGGCACCCACCACCCCGAAGCCGCGCAGCGGGGGACGACCGCCGGACGGAGCGGCAAGCAGACCCAGGAGCAGCTGTACAGTATCCCGCCTCGACTCTGCGACGAGCTGGCCGCCGCGGTGGACCAGACCGCGCGCGACCAGCAGCAAGCCGCGCGGACCCAGAAAAAGCCATGGGGAAGGTGCGGGTGTTCCCAAACCCGGACTATACCTCGAAGCAGCCCCGTGACCCGATCGTGCCCCAGGTGCCCTGCACGGGCATTTTTCTTGGGCCTGTTGAAAAACGTGGTAAACATCATGGCTCACTTTTCCTACCACGCTCTAAAGGCAAAACAACTTTTCTTGAGCCTAAGCCTCCGGTGTCAAACTCGTTCTGCTCAGACTCAACATGCCTTAGGGCATTTGGTGTCTTTCCTACTGCACCCATTCACTGTACCTGGATACATGCTGTACACTTAACACCCCGCCTCGGAACAGATCGAAGGCTTTAGGGCGTTCTCTTTCCTGCAGTGATTCTCACTGCTGTGCCAAAAGACGAAGAGCTGTTTCGGACTTCAAGTGTACTGAACTGGGGACATTCGTCTCCTCTAGTCCAAGGTCTTTTACCCAGTTCTTTCTGCTTTGTTTCTTGAAACATGCATAAACTCCTAACCTCGAATTTCTAGTTACACGGGCTTGTCTTAGAGTCCTCATCTTGTGAGTCTCAGCCCTTTGGCCAGCCTATGGCTCTTGTGTGGTCTTCTCTTTTACCTAACCATCTTCTTTCTTCAACTGTTCTTGCCTCTACCTGGCTGCACCTTACACTCCTAGTCCTGCTTCGTGAAACTCTTCGTGAAACTACTTTCTTCTTGGTGAAACTCGTGTGAATATCACAAGGCGTATTGGGGTCCTTGCTTATTCAAAAACATTCGTTGTACCTACTTTGTACTTCGTGCAATGTTCGGGGTGCTCGAACTTCTATGTACACAGCTTCAGAAAATCTATACATGCTTCACGCTGCGTTCAGTCGTCACCCTTCTCGATGCTTCTTGCTGGCTTCTTCTTTTCACCAGCCTTTCTTGCCTCCACCACCATACTTCCATTTCCCTTTGCCTTGGTACTTCCCCTTTGGGGCGTAGTGGTAGTAGGCGTAGTCTGGCTCCCAGTAGCTCTGGCTCCAACCGTCGTCGGCGTACCAGTCCTGCTGCTGGTGCCAACTTTCTTGCTGCCAGTCTTCTTGCTCTCGTTCTCTTCGGCCTCGTCCTTCTTGCTGCTGCGGCTCATCTCTCTCTCTTCTTATTTCTGTGGGGCTCTCCCACCTTCCTGTCTTCTTGAAGTGCTTGGTCACGAGGTTCCAGTCTTCGGCACCTTTGATTCGCGCTCCTTTCACCTGCGCTGATCCTTTCTGATCAAGCCGAATTGCTCGATACTCATTCGTGTCTTTGCAGTACTCCCAAATCCAACCACAATCTGTAAACGTGACCACATTCCATTTGCCCTTTGTGTTCTTGCTACCTTTCTCTCCTCTCTGCGGTGGTTCTCGGTACTGCTCTTCTTCTTTCTCCTTTCTCTCTTCTTCTGTTCCTGCTGCTCCTCCTTCTTCTTTTCCTTCTTCGCTCGACTCTGCAACGTCGGGCGGTGGCGTGTATCCTTTCTTTGTCCACCAGTTTGGATCATACCACTGGCCTTTGATCCTGACCCACAATGCTCCTTTGTGGATCTGCCACACATTGCCTTCTGCATCCTTCTTTCCTTCTGCTCCTAGTGTGGGCTTTTCATCTTCAGATCCTGAATCTTCAACTTCAACGACTTCAATCTCCTTCATTCCTTGCTCTTTCCTTCTCTGCCTCAATCTCCGCTTGTGTCTTTCGTTCCTGTGCTTCCTTCAACTCCTTCTTTGCCTTCTCCTTCTCTTCCTTCGTCGCTTCTTGGGCTTCCTGCTCCTTTCTTCTCATTTCCTCATAGGCCTCTAGCTTTGCTCTTTGCTTCTTCGCCTTCTCCTTCGCGATTGCCTCGTTCCTTTCATCTTCCTTCTCCTGTGCTTCCTTCTCCTCTTGTGCTTTCCTTTCCTGTGCTTCCTTCTCTTCCTGTGCTTTCCTCTCTTGTGCTTCCTTCTCCTCTTGGGCCTTCCTTTCTTGTGCTTCCTTCTCCTCTTGTGCCTTCTTCTCCTTTGCCTTCTTCTTCTCCTCTTGTGCTTTCCTTTCCTGTGCTTCCTTCTCCTCCTGTGCTTTCCTTTCCTGTGCTGCCTTCTCCTGGGCCTCTTTCTCCTCCTGGGCCTTCTTTGCCTGCTCCTTTTGTCTCATTGCTTCGGCTTTCTTGTCTGTCTCCTCTTTCCTCCTTTGTCGTTCTGCTGCTTCAATCTTCTCCTCGTTGGCTTTCCTGATCTCTGCATTGATCCTGTCTTCCTCCTCTCTTCTTTGTTCTGCTGTTTCTAGCTCTTCTGCTTCTCTCTTTCTCTCCTCTGCTTCTTTCTTCATGTGCTTCGTGATCATGTCGTAGTCCTTCTTCAACTGCTCTCTCACCTCTTTGGCATCTTGCTTGTAAACTTCTTTCTGCTTCTCTAGATCTTCTTTCTCTTTCTCCAGAGCTTTCTTCTCTGCTTCAGCTTCACTGAACTTCGCAACCACCTTCGCCTTCATAACAAATGCTTGGTCACGATCTTCTTCTGCTTCCTTCGCCTTCTCTTCTGCTTCTTCTCTCTTCAACTTTTCTTTCTCCAAGGCACGTTCTTGCTTCTCCATCTTCGCGATCAGCTCGTCGAACTTCATCTTCACGGTCTCGTCGTCTTCGAGGACACCTTGCGAGCTCTTCTCTTTGTCTTCTTCTTCTTTCTTCTTTGTGACTTCACCTTCAGGCTTCTCTTCTTTGGGCTTCTCTTCTTTCTCACCCTTCTTCTCTTTCTTCTGGTTCACTGCCAAGTAGACAATGATCGTCACCAGAACAACAATCACAGCCATGCACACGGGCACGAACATCTCAAGCTCAGGCATGCTCGTGAAAACGTGTGAAAACTTCATGCTGCTGTTGCTGCTTTGACCATGTAAAACTTCTTGTTCAACTTCTTGAAGTTCTTGAGGTGGCTCTTGAGCTGTAGAAAACGGACCAAACACAAAACTCATCAACTGCATGCAAAAATATCTTCGTGCTACAAAATCTCCTTCTTGCTGACCTGCAGATTCAACTGCAAAACCAAAAGCTGACAATAACGTCAAACCAAGTCTGCTTCCGGATACCTTTGTCAATCTTCTGACTGTAGCTGTGCTCTCTGCGGCCATTCGTTCTTCACGACCGATTGCTTCTCGATCATCATGAACTTGAAGGATGTTCAAAAGTAGCTTCATTCTCGATGCGTTGAGGGGCTTGGTCCCTAAGTCGGCAGGGTTGAAAACAGTGCTCACTGCCTTCACGCTGCATAGGCCGTTTCTGGTAACTTCTTGCAACCAGAGCATTCTCGTTGCTAAGTGCTTGATACGACCAACACCTTGCCGATGCACAATGCCACGTGCTGCACTGCTGTCTGTGTACGCCTTCATTCGCGCTGCTTTGCCAGAAAGGAACTCTACGGCTTCTCGAATGCCAATTCCTTCTGCGACAGCACCAGTGAGTGCGTAGTACTCGGACTCGCCACTGGAAAGTGCCACAGTTTTCTGCGTTCTTGAGTAAGAAAACGCATACTGGCCGTCCAGGAAGATGACTCCTCCTGATACAGATTTCCGGCTGCTCTTGTTGCCGGCCCAGTCGGCGTCAGAAAATACTTCGACCAGGTGACTGCCACTCTCGATGCTCTTCTCGTTCTCATTCTCGGAATCTTGCTCCAAATTCTTGTTTCTTTGCAAGGTTGCCGTTCCAGGTCTCCCTGCTGTGTAGCAAACCGCATAGCCTGCAGTCTTCTTCAGATACAACGCGCAATGCTCGAGCTCTTTCTGCTTCTTCTGCGTAGGAGCCTTCATTCCAGTTGCCAAATTTCGGACTGCATACTGGATGTCAGGACGATCTTGGGCAAGATATAGCAGTATACCGACACAACTTCGGTACACATTCTTCTTGTTCTCGTCCAGCTCTTTTGTCTCATCGGTGTTCTGCACATTTCCTGCTGCAGGGGTAGCTTTCTCTCTTCTCGATCCAAGGCGTAGCTTTTCAAGGAGCTTGGTGACATACTTGGTGTCAGGGCGGACAAACAACTTTCCGTCTTCATAGCTATACCTTCTCTTGAGAAAACGCACAGACTGCTTGGAAAATCCATTGCGATAATCTTCTTCTGTCAGAAAAGGTCCTTCTACTTGTAGCTTCACCTTCTTCGCTAAAGCTTCGAGGACGGGCTTCACCACTGCTGCTTTTCCTGCTACTTGAAGGTCATCGACATGTACGATGCAAACGGATACGACCTTGCCGTTCTTGATCAAGCGAAACAACGCTGGGTTCGCGATGCTTTTCTCATAGCCTTCTTGCTGCAAAAGTTCTGCGCAAAATTCGCTCCACAGAAGACTAGCATCTCTTTGTCCAGGAAGGACACGACCAAGACGCCAGCATTTGGCTTCCATTCCGTGTACTGCTTGACTTCCTTTTCCTCGTGGAATCTTGCAGTGTACAGGTCTCTTCTGGGGAACCTGCAAAAATGCATCTTTGATGTCAAGCGACCAAATACTCCATCGATTTGCCAATGCCAAAATTGGAATCAGCTTCGTCAACGACGGAGAGGTAGCTGGGCTGAACACATCTTCTCGCTTCGAGTTGTTATACTCTCTTGCTACCAGCCTTGCTCTTCTCTGCCAACATCTTCGTGGCTTCAGGGCTTCATGAGGAACTTCTTGTTGCCCTTCAGGGATCTCGTTCTCGCAGATGACGTTTTCTGACTCCCGAAATCTCCAGTCGAAAACCAGCTTTGTTGTCAACCAAACAACTTCTTTGCTCTCTTCTTGCTCCATGGGCACCTCTTCTATGACACCCATCTTTGTCAATCTGGAAACTTCTTTTCCTGCTGCGGCATCGTCAAAGATCTCGAGGTCTTCTTCTGCGAGTTGAGGAGGTCCTGCTTCCTCTGAGAAGAAACTTTCTGGAAGGACTTGAACTTCTTCTTGTTGCTCTTCATCGCTCCATTCATCTTCTGTCTCAAAGTCACCAGCTTCACTGCCTGCAAAGCAATCTTCTTCTTCGTCCGACCTCTCATCATTGTCGGGCATTCTTTCTGCTCTCATCACCGAAGACGATGCTCCAGGTCCAAACCTGGGAAGCTCAACTCTTGTTCTTGGAATCTTGCTTGGTGAACCAACACATTCAAAGTCTGGTCTGCTTTCTCGATCCATCTTTGCTTCTTCAGGAACTTCTCCTCCTTCATCTTCGTGCTCGGAAACCATATCTGCCAGAGGATCATGCTCATCATGAACAAGCTCGAACTCTTCAAGCATTCCTTCTGCATCTCTCCTTGCTTTCTCCTCATCACTTGTTGGAGGATCAGAGGCGGCTTCGTCTGCAACTTCATCTTCAAGGCTCTTTCGTTCTTCACCTGCTGCAACTGCTGGAAGAACAATCTGCGGAGAAACCAATCTTTTCTGAGGTAGTACTCGGCTGCCAAGTGTGTTGTTCTTGATCGACCAAGTGAAAACGTTCACGCTGCTGATGGCCTTCGCGTCGTAAGCTTCACCAACTGGTCTCGCACTTCTTGATGCGTGAATGCCATCGCTCTGGAAAGTAAGCCACATTCCAGATTCAGTCTTGCCGAGGAACACTCCGAACGTCCACAAACGGTCACCTTTGCGCTTCGGTCTCAAGCGTTTCACCATAATCGTGCTTGCAAATGGTACGAGTTCTCCTCGATACGGTTGGCCTGTCATGAATTCATACGGCGTCTTTCCTGTTGCTGAGGACCGATGAAAACGGTTGAGTAGCCACGCAGAGTGTCGCATTGCCCACGACATCAGTGGGTGTTCATGGCTAAGAGGAAGTTCTGTCTTCACTCTGACCTCATCCAGGATACAATTCGCATGCCTTCTGACTGTTTGGACTGCACGCTCGGCCAAACCATTGCTTTCGTGATCATGGGGTACACTTGAAAGAAGTGTAGTGCTCAGGCCATGCGCTCCACGCATTTTCTGGAGTGCAATCTTCAAGCTTCTGCAAACACCTTCATTGTCTGCCTTCACATTGATTTCTGAGTACCCAAGCTGCAGTGTAGCTGTAGTCAACGCTTCGGTCATGTGCCTCAGCGCATCTGCGCCTCCTCTTCTTGCTACGGGCACGGCGACAAACCACTTGGACCATGCATCATTCGCGATCAGCGTGACCATGGGCTGCGCCTCAGAGCTGCTCGTTGAGGTGTACGCAAAGTCGAAACAGAGTGTTGACTTGCTGCTCTCTTCAGCGGGGGAGCGAGTCAATTCGCTCTTCCGATGCTGATTTTCTTTCGCCCGAGTGGCGACGCAATGCTCACACCAGCCAGCAAATGGCAGGTGCGTCAGGTTGTGTAGCATCACTTCCTGCTCATTGGGGCGTTCTTCGCGCTTCCTCATCAGCGGCGCGACCTGCGCTTCATACTGCCTGCGCCCGAGGGCTAGGCTGTCTGCCGCTTCGCGCTCTTGAGCTGCGCGAGACAAGCGCTTCAGCATCTGTTCTTTGCTGCCACTGCTTGGTACTTCAAATTCACGACAAAGTTGACGTAAAATCTGCACGCTGCTATTCTTGCTGTACTCATAGCCATCGTAGGTGAACACAAGAGAATCTCGTTCAACTTCACCTCGAGGTGCTTCTTCCATCTGCACATCTTCTGGGAGGAAACTTTTCTTTTCTTCTTCAAGCTTCTGTCTCTTTGCCTCTTGCTCTTGTGCACTGCTTCTTCTATCTTCACGAACAGGTTCTTTGAGACGAAATCTGGTCTGACCATACCACGGCAAAGCGAATGCTTCTTCAGGAGGTTCTGTGTCTCTGCTCCAATCATCTTCGTCTTCATACAAATTCGTGGCATAGACGCACTCGCCAATAGTGTATCTCCAGGACGTCAAATTCTCAATGTCCGTGGGCATTCCAGCTACGTTCTCAGGGTTGAACTTGTGGGTGCGCGGCGTGTTGTGGTACCGCACAAGTTCCGTACCAGCCTTCTCGATGCTCCAAGTGTCGCTGGTTCTTGCTTCTTGTTCTTGGCGTTCATCTTTCTTCAAGGGGATGCCCAAGACATTCAGCGGGATAACTCGTGACGACAATGCTGTCACCACTTCAAATTCCCCGCCTGCGCTGATATCCTCAAACGGGTCCATCTTCTGCGCATACTTTTTGCACACTTCAACGGCTTTCCATGTACCATCTTCTGTCTTGATCATCGTGCTCCTGTACGGGAAATCCTCCGTACGGTACATGTCCGTGGGATCTTTGTACTTCGACTGCGCCGGGGAGTAGTGCACAACCACAATGCTGTCTGTATCATGCCAGCCAGGTTCTTGCTTTCTTGCTGCATCAGCTATGTGGGAGTTCAGCTGAATGACGGTGCGAACGTGTTCCTGCTCCAGGTTCACATAGGCTTCGCTCTCATACCTCTTTCCTGCTTGCAAATAAGCATAAGTAGCCAGCGAGTTCTTGTGGTAGTGAACAGGGATGTCTGACATTCCGTCTGACAACATCAAGCCATCATCCTTCTTGACAATCTCCCAGCCATTCTTGAGTAGCTTTCCGACTGCCAACAAAGGATTGACCACATTCGCAACGATGAAGCATTCTTGCATCTTGACTGCTTCTTGCTTCGAGCTGAACATAGTCAAGTTGATTGCTCTCTTTCCTTTTACAGGAATCTTTCTTCCTTGTGCGTCTCTGATGCCTGAATCGTTCTTCTTCTTCACAGGCACTCCCTCTTTGCCAAGCCACAGAGGAATGAGGCTGACATCGGCGCCACTGTCCAAGATCACTTCTATCTTCTCATAGACAGGACTGCTCTCATAAAATGATTCTTGGACTGCACGGACACAAAGGTTGCAATCTTCTTCGTGCTCACAACCATCTTTCCACCACAACATCAAAGGATCATCTTCTTCTTGGTGCTCGTGTTCTTCTTCTTCTTGCTCTGCATCGCTAAGCTGAAATTCTTCAACACGTAGCACACGACCAAAATAGTCAATCTCAAGTTCTTCTTCTGCCTCCGTGTCGACTTCGAAAACTTCTGGATACTGTTGTGGAGGATCTCCAATGTGGATCATGGAGATTTGACGCACGGTCTTTGCTTGGTTCCTGCTGACGCTCGTCACGTTCGTGGTGCTTGACGTGCTTGGTGCTGCAGTAGAACTGGCTGCTGTGGTACTTTGCTGGTCGTCGTTCACGTTTCGAACATCACCAAAATCTCTCTGCTTCTGTCTGCATTGGGCTTCAAAGTGACCAGGCTTTCCACAGTAATGACAACACTGAGGACCAAAGCTTCCTTTTCCGCGTCCTTTTCCAAATCCACGACCAAATCCTTTTCCACGACCAAAACGACCGCGACCTCGACCACGACCTTTTCCTCTTCCTCGTCCTTTGGAGTTGTAGCCGTAGTCGTTGCCATACTTGCCTTTTCCTTTGGACTTTCCTTTCCTCCATTTTCCTTTGCCCTTTCCTTTGCCTTTGCTGAACTTTCCTTTTCCTTTTCCTTTGGATCTCCAGGGCCTTTTTCTATCATCTTTGTTCACGTTGCTGACATCCATGTCTGCTTGTCCACCGTGGTCGTTGCCGGCGTTGATCAAGTCAGTTGTGGTCCAGCGTGTGTTTTGCTCATAGGACAGGAGAAACTGACGAAGACTTGAATACTTTGTATCATCTCTCAAGTTGAGCAACATGTGTTGTCGAAGTTGACCTGTCGAAGTTGACCATCTTGCTGATTGAGGATAATTGAAATCTTCAAATCATCTTGCACCACATCTCCTGATGCCTTTTCATACTGCTCGATTGCTTCTTCGAATGCAAGGATGTTCTCCATGGTGGTCTTCTTGTTTTCAAACTTGTACTTCGTGAGGCTAGTCAGCAAACGAAGACTTCTACCACGAGTGTAGGGTTCATGTTCTTCGAGCAAAATTCTCCATGCTTCTAAACCATTCTCCTCTGTAATCTGCTTGATCGTTCTCAATGGGCGACCTTTCGTGTACGAAGTGAGGATCGTGTAGAGCTTCTTGCTAACGGCTTTGTGCTCGTCACTCAAGGTGGAAAACTCAACAGCTTCACTTCTCTTTGCTTCAACGGCTTCAATTCTTGCTAACATCTCTGGGTCCAACGCTCCAATCCAGGTTCGCATCTTGTGTCTGAATTCACTCCAGCCTTCATGCTCTTCTTTGAAACTGCTTGGGTTGAACACGTCGGGGGTCTTGATCATCTTGTGCAACTCGACATCTCCCTTCTCTCTTCTCTTTTCTCTTTCTGCTTGTGCTTGTTCTCGTGCTTCTTGATGCTCACGAAAATCTCGATGCATTTGACCCATATTGTTGATCATGCTTGCTGCCTCGTGGACCGCTGTGCTCGTTCTTGTAGCCACTTGTAGCATGTTGCGAAACATTTCTCTCATCTCACCTTCACTGGCTGCTGCTGCACTTTGAGCTGCTGTGCTTGCTTGCTGCTGCTGGGATGCTTGCTGCTGAACTGCGCTAACCAGGTCGTTTATCTGTTGGGTGTTCGTTGCTGTCTGCTGGGCCAAAGATTGCATTGCTTGCTCCATCTGGGCATTCATGGCTTCAGCTGCTTGCGTGTTTGTATACAGCAACACAATGAACATGAGCGTCTTCTTCTGAACACCACATGCACGAACTTCTTGATACCTGGCTCTCCTCGAAACTCTTCTCTTCAAACACTCTTTTCTCTTGCTTTGGATGGCACACATGTTGTACAGGCTGATCCAAGTAACCAAACCAATCGGGGTGCACATCACGATCATCAACACGAAAATAATTTCTTTCTGCTTGTGAAACATGACTGAGATCTCAGGGGCGTAGCTCGACTCAAGGCTTCGAAGGAATCTTCTTGTACCTTCATACCATCTTTTCACCTCAATCTTCAAATTCGTGATGTCGAAGTTTCTTGATGCTTCAAATCCTGCGATCATGTACTTCACAATCTCGAGGTTGTAGTTTTCTTCGTTGTCTTGATCTTCATAGCGTATTGGGGCTTCTTTGGTTTGACGACGCTGCAAACTGAAGGACATGAGCTCCACATGTTCTGTCTCTTCTCTCTCTCTTCTCACATGCACATTCTTGCTGCTTTCACCAAGTGCATGAGTCGCATGCTGCACCTCGGCATGCTCATCCTCCAAGGCAATAGTCTTCAGGTCATCCTGGAGGGAAATCGAATTCCTGGGCAGCGGCTTTGACATAACGAGCTCTGCTTCATCTAGCAATATCTCTGTACTGCTTCTTGCTGCCTTTGCTTTCACATTCTTGATCATCAACAGCCAACCTTCTGCTGTAACGAGCCCTGCACAAAGTAGAAGAACTGCACTGCAAAGGACTCTCATCCAGAAACCACATCCAGTCATCTGGGTAAACCTCCTTCTCTTTACTTCTGTCTGCCCTTGAATGTAAACATAGCCATCTGGAAAGCAAACTCTACATCCAGGTGCACGTACGACTTGCGCCTGATCCGCACTGTCCAGGCCACGGCATTCTCGATGCTTGTGCACTGCTGTTCTTGACTTTGCAATGTAAACATCAGGCATGAACTCTTCATGGGCGACAGTCTCGATCTCTCGCTCTTCAGTTGCAATCTCTCGCAAGAACGACCACGCCATTCCTGCTAAAATGCTGCTCATGAAAACCAGCACTGCAAACAGGAACAATTCCTGCTGCCATCTTCCTGAACTCAAAGCGTCCAGGGCACCACTGCTTGCTGCAACTGTCTGCTCTGCCATCTGCTGAAGGTTCTGGAGGTTGCTGGCACACACTTCTCGCACAGACATGAAAACCATCATGCTCCATGGAAAAATCTTCGTCCATCCAGCTTGCTGTAGCATCATCGCACCCTGACTCAGGTGCTCCGCTACCATGTTGAAAAACGTGGTAAACATCATGGCTCACTTTTCCTACCACGCTCTAAAGGCAAAACAACTTTTCTCGCTTTCGACTCTTGAGCCTAAGCCTCCGGTGTCAAACTCGTTCTGCTCAGACTCAACATGCCTTAGGGCATTTGGTGTCTTTCCTACTGCACCCATTCACTGTACCTGGATACATGCTGTACACTTAACAGGGCCCAGCAAGTCCGGCAAGACCGTGGCCATCATCAGCGCCATTCTGGAGCAGTACCGCACGGCCAGCGGTGAGTCGGTGTTCGAGCGCATCTATGTCTTTTCGCCGTCGAGAGAGATAGACGACGGCTGGCAGCCCGTCAAGGACTTCATCGAGAAGGACATGGGCGTGAACACCGAGCGGGAGCAGGTCTACTTCGACAAGTGGGACGAGGGGGCCCTGAGGACCATCATCGAGCAGCAAAAGAAGGTGACGAGGACCAGCAAGCGCCTGGGCCTCAAGAAACTGTTCCAAGTCTTGGTGGTCATCGACGACTACGCCGATCAGCCGGAGCTGCACCGCAAGATGGGAGACGGCGCCTTGGACACGCTGTTCATCCGCGGGCGCCACATGCAGATAAGCACGTGGGTATCCTCGCAGAAGCTGCGGCTCATCAGCGCCGCCGTCAGGGTGAACATGCAGTTCATCTGCATCTGGCGCCTCCGCAACCAGCTAGAGCTGGAGGCGGTGCTGGAGGAGCTCAGCGCCCTGCTGCCCAAGCAGGAGCTCCTCGCGATGTACCAGGAGGCCACGAGGGAGCCCTACAGCTTCTGGTTCATCCACTACCTCAAGGACAAGGCGAACATGTTCTACAAGCGCTGGGAGGAGCGTTTCGTGCTGGACGGCGCCGCGGAGCCCGCGGAGCGCGCGGAGCCTGAGCAGCCGGTAAATGGGCGGCTTCCTGTGGCCAGCAAGCTGCTGGGGGGCGGCCCGATCATCGAAAGCGACAGCAACATTAGGTGCTGCAGCAGCAGCAGCCAGCCCAACGTCTACGACCCGCGCCTCGTGGCCACGCTGCCGACCGGCTGGGGTTAGCGGGGCGTGTCGGGTGAGTCCACGGCCAGCGGGCTCTCCCGAACGCCGTTCCGGTTTAGGAGAAACAAGCCCGCCATGACGACCATCTACGTGGACTCCAGGAACCGCGTCTCGGGCTCCGACAGCAACTTCACCTTCGAGCTCCCGGAGACGCTGCACATGCAGACGAGCGCCAAAATGGCGGTCTACAAGGTGCGCATCGCGGACGCGTTTCTGAGCACCGACAGGGGCACGCACCTGTACTGGATCGACGTGGCGCTGGGCACGCTGAACACGGCGGAGCTGCCCGTGGGCGCCTACACCGGCGCGCGGCTGGCGGCCTGGATCTCCTCCAACTTCGCGGCCGCCACCTACGTGGAGGCCACGAACGCCGTCGAGGTGGCCTACGACTCGAATCGGCGCATACTCTCGGACGCGGAGCTGCGGGACCTGTTCCCGAACGGCCCGGGGTACCCCCAGGGCGCCTCCGCCACCCGCCCGCAGAGCATCAACCACCTGCTGGGCGGCAGCTACCTGGACGGCGCGCTGCAGATCTTCCCCTAGGTGTCCATGAATGCCTACAACGAGGTCTACCTCAGATGCCGTGGCCGATGAGCCAGAGCCCCAAGAGCCCCAGCAGGGCGCTCCGGAAGCAGCAGGCGCGGAGGAAGCTGCTGGAGCAGCTGGTGGGAGAGGCTCCTGCAATGGCTGATCCCGCCCCCGCTCCCCCTCCCACACCTCGCCCTGGGGTGGTGGCCGTGCCCGCCGCTGAGGACGCCGGAGCACCAGTGCCCAAGCGCAAGGGGCCGGCCGCCCGGTTCGAAGAACAAGCCCAAGCTGCCGCCGAAGACGGTCCCCGCCGCCGACGCTGGGGGAGGCGGTCAGCCGCAGCCGGCGAGCGAGGTTCCTGCTGAGCCGCACCCCGTCCACCTGACGCCCTCGCAGATGCGCATGGTGCGCCAGATCAGCCGGCAGAACCGCTTCGAGCAGCTGGCCATGGCGAACAGCATGGACGTGTAGATCTAAAGGATGATGCCCTTGGAGCGCCGCAACGAGCCCCAGATGCTCAGGAGCTTCTGGAAGAAGTACCCCAGCTACAACCTGAACCCGCTGCTCCACAAGCGCTACAACGAGCTTTTGGAGGCCCGGAGCTTCAACAAGTGGTTTGAGGAGCGCGGGACGCGCAAGGAAGGCGAGGAGTACACCGACGCGGTGGGCCGGCTCACAGAGGCCGTGAACCGCAGGGTGCCCCAGCTGCGGTACACCCCGGCGGAGCGGGCGGGGGTGCGGCGAATGGCAAGAGACGTCGCGGCAGGCAGGAACACGGCGGACAGCGGCGTTTACGGCGGCATGCTGTAAAGACACATGGAGGAGCGGCGCCAGTACGGCTTCAGGGTGCGCCCCAACTTCGGCCAGGTGCTGGGGTACTTTTTTGCACTTTGCACGCAGCGAAGTCTGAACATCTCGGTGTGAGAACAGAACAGCTAGTTCGCCCTGCGACGGTAACACGTGCAAGCCCAGAGGGCCCGGTGCTTCAGGAGCACATGTTGAAAGTACAACATCACAAGAACTTAGAACCTACCACACTGCTGCACGAATTGGCACATACAAGACACCACGAATGGCCGGTAATGCATGTGAGAGACACTGAATTTGCAGTAATCTCTTGAATCCCCCCCGACAGCTTCAAAGCCATCTTGAAACACTATGGAACATACGACATAGAGTCGGCAGCAAAATGGAAATGCCCTTCCCATCACATCACTCTGCTGATATGTAAATCAAAGCATACAAGTTCTTGCAAGCAATATCATCGAAATCGGAAATTGGTTGAGGAACAGCATGGTCATCGCAATGATACATGTTGACATGGTCAGAACTTTTCAGAATGCAAGTGTAGTGTCCATTCTGTGGCAGAGATCCATGATGAACGATCCCTGCTACCAGCCTGTAACTCACATATCGCAAGCTCAGTGAAGTGTCATCGACAAAGACAGGGAGTTGTATCTCATCTTGCAAATACTTGATGACAGTAAAGAGCTTACGGATGCGATTCTCAGGCGTCACTCGCTTGATCGTTTGAGGCTGACGAAATCTGCCCACCTGCACCATGAGCATTGTAGGTAGAACAAGAAAGCCACGAAATGCACCCGAAGTAGGATCTGCCTGCCATCTGTTCAGCATCACATGTCTAGAGCAAGACCTGGCATCCGGTGTGAGAGATAAGCAATATCCAGTATCCGCGACATGAACAAGCCCATCTCTGAGCTGCCTTGCTTGCCATATCCCAAAGAGATCCCCAATGCCTGTCGTGTTGATAACATGGTGCGCAAACTCACAAACATCATGCTGTCGATTGTTGTGTTGCCAGCCTCGCAGCACAGATTTCATCACACTTGATGACGGCAAACATCGAGGAGGGCGAGCCCCTGGCCATCGGGCTCCCGAACCGGAATGCCTCCATCTACATGAGCTCGCACTTTCGGCTGGACGACTTTCCCGCATCCAGCGAGCCCCTGAGCGACGACCCGCTGCCCCACACTCACCTGAACCCCGCTGAGGCCTTCGAGGACGCCCGCGAGGAGGACGGCTACCGGGGCACCCCGTTCCCGCGCAGGGACTTCCTAGCCGCAGCAGGCCCTTCGACCTTGATTCGGACAGTGATCTGGGAGCGGATGCCGGGCAGGCCCTGAGGCAGGACGGCTGGCACTGCCCGACGCACCGAGCCTGGGAGATCGCGTGCTGGGTGGGCTCCAGAGGGCCGAGGCCGTAGCCGGTGCGGCAGCGGGCGCAGTGGGCTCGGTCGCGTCCATCGCGGCCCACAGCGGAGACCTCTACCGCCACGGGCTGCGCGGTCGGCAGTGGCTGGACCGGACACTGCGCATTCCCAGGACGCCTGAAGGATTGGCGCCCCCACCCGACGAAGTGGCCCCGCCGCAGTCGGCCGAGCGAGGTGGAGCCGTTGCTGGAGCGTGCGGGCCAGCGGGCCGCGGAGGTGGAGCGCCAGGCAGCGCAAGACATCGAGGTTTTCACGCAGGGCCAGATGGCCGAGGCGGAGGCCGAGAGCTTCACGAGCGCCGCGGAGGCCGTGGCTTCGAGCGCGGAGGCAGCCGCGGCCGCGGAGGCGGGAGGAGGCGCTTTGGCGGCCATCGGCTCCGGGCTGGCCGCTGCCGGAGAGGCTGCGCTGCCCGTGGCCGCCACGGTCGGCCTAGCCGTGGCGGGCGCGGGGCGGCGCTGGTGGGCACCGCGTGGGCGCTGCACGGCGGCATGATGGCGCGCCGAGCACTTCCTGGGCTGGGGCAAGCGCGGCGGAGGCACGGACAGCGACCAGTCGAGGCCCAGCTCCACCGTGGACGTGCAGACGCTGAACGGCATGCACGAAACGGGCGTA